GAGTCCCCGAAAGCTCCGGGCGATCCCTCGGAAGTTATACTTGGTAGATGTGCCATATTTGTCTCCATACTCCGGACCGAAAGGACATACGACCAACCACAGCCATTTGAACTTCCATCGCCATTAACGAACATATTCAACGAACGCATATTAGACATATCCGCAGAGAGGTATTTGTACTTTTTAGAGCTTTGTGAACTCTCTCTCAGACTAGCAGGTAAAGCTATTAGAGCGTCCCTTTTGTACAGTGAACTTATTTAATCGCATTTAACCTATGTATCCTAGCTTAGTTATATAAATAAATGCTTGTTTTGTTTTTAAACCTGTCTCCTGTCTCTGAAGGACACCTGCTGACTTACCGACGCACTCCCCACTCAAATTATTGCCCTCCTAGCCATCCGACAAGCTGAGAACGGGTTTTACCAACCTGGTGCAGAGTAAGTGGTCATTTGGGATGAGCCCAGTGGCCCACTGCTAATCTTACACATTCTAACATCTTAGGCAAGAACATCATAATTAACGGGTTTTACTATACTATTATAAAATGGCAAAAAAAGCTTACTTTGAGAGTAGAGACGAGTTTTATTTTATTTTTTTAAATTTCGAATGCTAATAACGAGTGAAATATTCATTAAGAGAGATGACACATGACCACTTTTATGTCTTCTCCCTGTCGACCTTTAATTAAGAACCAAAATTTAATAGTGTTAATGCCCCTTTATATGCAAGCTACAGTGCCACATTTCGTTTCTTAAACTTTACCCATTCTGAGATATGGTTTAATATCCCAGAACAGAAAATAAAGAAATTAAACAAATTAGATGCCAATACACACGCGTGAGCGAATTTTTCCACTTTAATTGACTTTTTTTCAGGGTGTCGGGAGGTCTCCAAACGTGTAGATTTGCAAAAAAAGCTTGGAAGGTCAAATTTGGCACGATTCCAATACTTTTCCCTTTTTTTATACATAACAAGTTGGGAAGTAAAAAGGGAGTCGGAGTCGGCGGATTATTTTAAGACTCCGACTTCGACTCGGACTCCGACTCCACAGTCCTGGAAAGGCCAAAAGATAAAAAGTAGTGATAAAGGTTAAATAGACCTTTTGTTATGGAAATATTGACCCTTAATTTTCCAACCTTCCTCACTTCTTTATTTTTGTCCTTTCTCTCCTTTCTCCGCATTTGGGTCTATAATCCTTTGAGTCCCAACTCCAGCTTTATTTAATATTCCTTCAGATTTGGCTATTTTGCGCCAAATTTGGCTACTCTTTTTTTTAGTTTGGCGTAAAAAAATATAGTTTTGCGCCGAATAGTGGACATCTCTACTTAACGGGCATTTTTACAATCTTCAAACCCTTCAAATAGGTCATTTATTATATTTATTTCTACCAACCTTAAGAAAACGTTGTCGTGTCTTCAATATTCTGAAAGAATTAATTTCGTACGAAATATTTTAAAACTAAAAGAATCGGTCAAAACTCTTTCGGAGGACGAATTTTGACCATATTTTCAGCGTCAAATAAAGACGCTGAAAATAGGAATGACGAAGAGGGCGGGTTGTAAAAAGCCGAAAATAGGCTTAACAGATTTAATTTTTTTTACTCTTTCCGCCCTGTAGGCATTAAGAGGGCCTCTTAAAGCAGACCCATTATGGGTTCGGCCAGGCACATAATGAGGCGACCGGGTGGTGAGGGGAGTATCCGAACAGACCACCCCCGAAAAATTCGTGGGGATTCTTTGACCCGCCCGGATTCGATCCCTGGTCTTCCAGAGCGGAAGGCCACCTCCTTGACCGCTCGGCCATCCGGCCGTCAACACGTTTAATTAAACAATACCAGGTTAGAAAAAAACTAATCTGGTAAAATTGTCAATCATCGCTTATTAATGTTATTAAACTTCTGTGTTACTGTTGGAATTAAGTTTACGGTACCAAGAAACCATAAACTTTTCCTGGGTTGTTTATTCATTCGACAAGAACCATAGTACGAGTACAGTAGTAACGTATAGTAGTTAACGAGAACAGCTGTCGCTGTTGCGTTGTCTGCGCGGTTGAAAATCGCAAGGTGTGACCACGGCTTTAAACGTGGAGTCGCTACAGCACTTTATGTAGTACATTCTAGTTCGTTGAATTTAACAGAGTTAAAAAAAAAAAGCAGGGCTGTGGAGTCGGAGTCGGAGTCGGAGTCGTGGAGTTTTGGTGTTTTAGCTGGAGTCGGATGGTAAGGAAAAGTCGGAGTCGGAGTCGGAGTTGGAGTCGGTAGATTTTTACGCGACTCTACAGCCCTGGCAGGGCTGTGGAGTCGGAGTCGGATTGGTAAGAAAAAGTCGGAGTCGGAGTCGGAGTTGGAGTCGGTAGATTTTTACGCGACTCCACAGCCCTGAAAAAAAGCCAAAAATATTATTTTTAAAATTTAATCTGTAAATGATAAATTATTTTATTCTTTATAATTACAGTATTTGTAATTTATATTTGTATCTCTATGATTACTTGAATAGATGGCAACGTTAATTTGAATAATATCGATAAGTAGCGTTCTCTTTCCGAACGCTACAAAACTATCTTCAAATAAGTTATTTTATTAATCTTAAACATAAATTAAAATTTTATTTTTTCTTTTATACCTTTATTAACCAATATTACTTATACTACGAAACATATAAAATATATAGAACTAAAACGTTACACTTAATCATTCAATAAAAATTATAAACTTCTCTTATTATATTATTTTTTTATTCATCACTCTTGATATTTAAAAAGTAAAATAAATACAAAATTAACGAAATTTATTAATACTGTATTTTAAATATTAAACGATATAAAATAACGTCATCTACCGGCCAAACATTACAAAGCATCAGTAGTAATTTCTATTTTTCCGACGAAAAGTATGAAATTTCCTCTAATTTCGCTATACTATTTAACAATTTACCATCGAAATTAAAAACTCAATCTTTTCTCCACACCAAAGATTACGATAATACGTATGTATCACGTGTTATTCAATAACGTTACCGATTTATTTGACGGGTCACATTTAGCAGACAGAGGACAAATTCACGAAAAGGACGAAACAACAGAAAATATTAGGTAGGTTTTTTGTCATAATTTAACGCGTTACGTTTATTTTCAGAAAAAAATGCCTTTATTGTGTCTTAATGAACGAGATAGTTGTAGTTTAACGGGACCGACACTAGTCGGCCTAACTGCAACCGACTGGTTAGTATATATATAACGAGCGGAGTATTTTAGTCTGGAAGCGTGTGTCACGGACACGTCTGAACATTGATCGCTAGCGAGGCGGATCTGCTCAGTTAGTGTCTACCCCAACACAAGGCTTTCATATACTTCTAGGCTCTCCCGTTGCCGCCTGTCGCACGGTCGAGAGCTGATCCGTCCTTCAAAATTCTCGTTCTCCGACTTCGGTCGGAAACGGGCTGGGTATATTCGGCGCTTTCTCCTGTAGTTACTACCTAAAATGGGGGGAGTAGCTAGCATTGGTTTCTGACGCTTCCATTTACTCTCCAGTTGGGGCACTGCTCTGTGCAGTCTGCCATATTTTTTTTCTTTTCTGTTTATTTCACTTAAGATTGTTCTTTTATACACAATCCACAATACAATATTAAGCATAATACGTACAATTCACTCTCCACGTACTAAATTAGTAAAGCTGATTCGATGTTTATACTGTTGTTTAATGCTTGTATTATGATAATGTTTACTTTAACTTGTAATTTTTTGGCAATTTTGTATATTGTCAATATGAAGTTCTAGTTAAAGTTGTATTTATTACAGTTTTTTCGTATCTAGAGGCCCTAAATTTATCTGACTGTATAATTAACTTCTATTAAGTACCATAAGCTCGAAGACCTTTAAGAAAAGAATTGTTTTGTTTATAAAAGTTTGTCATTGATTGTTAGCGATCGTACTATTTTTGATGTCCTGGACAGTTGATTTGAATCTATTGCATGTCATAAAATTAGTGTTACTTAAATTCATTCATTATTTATACATGGATTTAATTAAAATAACTTCAACACACTTCTAATGTGCTTTCTAAATTATGTTTCCTTAACTTGTAAGACTTTGTTAAGCTTAATTTGTTTAATCTGTGCCTGTTAGATATTTATTTCGATAAGTATAAAAGCTATCGAAATAAATTCCAAATAGAAGCTTACTATATCAAATAGAGCTTATTGCACCGTGGCGCAATAAGCTTTATTTGATAGAGTATGCTCATTGTTCCGTGCAGCAGTAACTTATTGCGTGTGATATAGCAGTGACATGCCAAGAGGGGAGCCAAGGGGACCTGGCACCCCAAAGTAAAAGGAAACTATACTATTTAACAATTCTCCACTAGTAAATTCTCCAAAAATTTTTTTCTTAATTAAAACTCATTTTTTACTTATGTTATTTGTAAGTATAACACAGACTGTAAATGTCAAACTAACAGTACATTGACATAAATATTATAATTACTGGAAATTATAAATTTTTGCTGAACTATGAATTATGATTGCCTACACTAAATCCATCTTGTTATTTCATTACAATTTGCGGAAAAAATAAATCTCTCTCTCCTCTGATTATTTGGATTTTAAAGCATTAATTTAACAAATTATCTGGTACTTAGAATTGAAGAGAAAATTCAGTTGAATAATTTACATACTGTATATAGAAAAATATTTTTAAAAATATGTTTTATCATTATGAAATCATTTGATACAATTAAATATTGCTTTAGAGTCATGCATACAAATGTTTATTAATCCATCCTTTCAATTTAAATTGAAATTAGTAATTCTCTTTCATTTAATTTTTACAAAACTAAATTGAAATGTCACTGATATTAATTTAAACTGTATCAAAAATCTTTATATATATTTTATCATCACTTAAAAACTGGGATAAATTTTCTCTTGTGATTGTCTTAAATGTCGTATTTAAATACTGTATTGTTGTATCAGTTATCCCTGTGTGGTATTTTATATCTCATATTCCAGAGATATAACCTCAATTTATGACATTGAGTTTATGAGAAATAGAACGGCTCGCTTTACGACGGATTTCCAGGAACCAGTTTAATTACGTCATAAAAGCAGGATCTATTCTGTTACAAGGAATAATTATCGTTAGTAAATTATTTTTCCAACCAAGAAAATTCTTCTCACACTTAAGATGATAATTCATCATAAAAATGGGTAATATATACTTTTTGAAATATATTTTAAAGATACTGAGAAAGGTCAATCTAAATGAATTGAGAAATTTTATTGTTATGAAATAAGACATGACGCCAAGCGTGAACAATTATATTTTTAAAAAAGTGTAAAGGATTTAAGTTATGGAAGTGTTAGCTTTGTATATTTTCTCTCTTCCATTCTTAACTGTAAATTTAAAAGTCATTGATTGACTTATTACTTAAGAAACATGTTTATATTGAATTAAATTATTTATAGGCTATATGTTGGTAGATTTGGTAATATTATTTTATAAATAATGAAAACCTAAAAGAAATTTATGTTGTTTGGTTATGAACAATATAATTTCTATATAAATATAAATTAACAGTATTAAATAATTTAGCCAGTCTTACTGTATACCAGCTTCATTTCTACTAAAGTAAATTAAAATTAATAGCATAATTTAATTTAAAAGAAATGAAGTTAGTAAGCAATAAAATTTTCTAACCTATTTTAATAAAATTCTTTATATCAAAAAATTTATTTCAGTTAATACATTTCGTTGTTTTAAACTTTGTGTTTTCATCATTATTATTAATAGAAGTTTACTCAATAACATTTCTAACACCTACGTTTTAAGTAAGTTTAAAAGGATCTATCCATGTACTAAATTTGTACTTAATTAAAATTATAAAGTTACTATAATTATAATTATAATTACTATAGTTATTGTTAAGCTTATAGGCCTATATAAAAATATAAATAAATATTTTCATTAAAAATTTCTTACACATTATTATTTGCTATGAATAATAATTGTTTAAAAATAATTAACATAGCTTAATGAGGAAAAAAATTCATTTAATTTCCTATCTCTGAATCACCAAGTAATGAGAATATTAAAAAACGAAATGAAATGTATTAAAATCTGTTAGCTAATAAATCGAATTTCTCATAACCCAAACGTAAATATTTGAAATGATACTTTATGACCAAAAAAAAAGTTATTTAAATGTATTTGTTACTACAATCTGTTAATTAAACATGTGATTTATTATTATTATTTTACACAATTCAAAAATACTTTTAAAAAGTAAAATCTTAATCATTAAAATATTAATTAAATCTAGTTCAATGATAAAGATTCTTTAATCCATTCTCACAATATATTATCTTAAAGGAATTAAAGACTCTTTAAATTAAATAGATTCTATTTGACTTAACTAAATCATATAAAATATAATTTATTACACTTAGAATTTAAAATGTGTTGTTAACAAAATAAATAATTTATGACCATTTTATTTACTGTATGTATTTTTGAAATTTTTATGCCCACTTCACATACATTTAATTCATTAATTTATTTACAAATAGACTCACTGTTAAATTTATTAATAACATAGTGTGTAAATTTATATAATACATGTAACGGTATATAGAGATTTCACAACTATGCCTTAGTAGCTTATTATTATGCTCAGCAAGATATTTTGTATGTTCTGATTGTTATATCCAATGTTGATTTTAAAATAATTAGTATGACTTACAAGTAATTAGTTCTTGTTTTTTGTAAGTGTTTAAATTCTATATATAATAGTAATTTTCTATAATTAAAAGTACAGTATACATAAGTTATTTTATCATTTTTATGAAAAAATGACTTATTAATTACACAACATGCAAATATATTATATGAATAAATATACATATAGGCATATGCACAAATATTACATATGAATTTCGTTCATTCTTATGTAATACATACTAACTATATTTTTAAAATATAGTGTATAAATTTTCTGCAGTTAATCATCATTTACTGGCAAGAATTTATTATTTTTTAAGTAATTTGAGCTGATTTTCGCCAACCTACGAAATATTTTCGTAACAACTATTATACACATATATTAAAAAATTAAACATAAGTATTTTTAAATTTAAGGGTGAATTATTTTATTGTATAACACAGTTAAAAATTAAAATATTTCATTAATCAATAGATTATTCCATACATTTTCGGATAAAACTAATCTAATTTATAGGAAGGGCGTTTTATCAATGAACTTCTTTATCATTGAATGTTTAAAGGCCATTTTACATGTCGCACTTAATCTCTGATCATCTAGGTTACTATTTAGTATCTATTTCTCCAATATTTTTCGAAATTAGCTTTAGATAAACTTTATTTAATTAAATATAAATCATAAGCAATTAATGCATTTCGTTCCTAGAATTTAGTTATTGATCCCTCTCTAATGCAGCGGATTTTTTTTGGCATTCAAGCAATTAGAGCAACTACTGCAACTGCATCAGCTACTGTAGCATAATTAAAATACAATGAAATAACAGAAAAAAATATAAAACTGTTGAAGCAATTTCTTAAGGTAAAAAATTAACATTAGTTTCACACAACTAAAATTAAATAGCTGCAACTTGTTTTCTTTATTATTTATAAATTACTAATCAAATATATGTAGCTTATAGTATATTTTTAATAATAATTATGTAAAATACATAATTTATAATTTATTAAATTAACTAGAAATTTGAAAACGCTATTGCACTTTTTTTTTTTTTTTTTAGAATTAGCGCAATAAATGCCAACAATTTTGACGTCACTTCCGTAGAAAGCACACGCGAATCGTGTGTTCGCGGCAAAAGGCGAGGAGTCGTAGATCAGCACTTTCAGTGTAGGAGGATGCCGCGACTCTCCAACGACAACAAATTCCTCGTTCACTGTGTGCTCGATTTATTCTGCATCGCAGTCAGTAAGTATCTTATTTAGAATATTTTTCCTTTAAATGTTAAAAAGGAAATTGTATGTTGACAGATAGTTTACCTAATTTTTCCCACATTGGCAAATGTTCTCGGAAAAAATAAGATAGGGAGTTAAATGTATTTTTTCTCCTGATCAGTAAATTTTAATTCTAATTTAGGAAAATCATTATTTAAAAACAAAATACGAGGTTTTTTAAAATTAATTAATGGCCTAAATATCTAATTTCTTATCATGAAAAATCGATAAGTATAAGTACATCATAGAGAAAGAACGGTGCTAATGTTGTTGGTGTTTGGATCCAACAATACCAAAAATAAAGTATTGCACGTGTATAGTGTGATTTAACAACTCTATAATACTATTAGTGACTAATAGTACTACTATAGTAAATAATAATAGAAGTGAAAAAATAATTACTGTTTAAATTTTTAAAATTGTAAGAATTACATAAGTGGCTATTGATTAAATGAAAGTTTTTATATAACTAAAGCTGCAATAAATATATGGTTTATATAACTGATATTGACTTATACTTGTTCACTTTTTAATAATTCCTGGTTTCTTAATAAATTCTGAATTTATAATGTATTCTATAAAATATAAACTAAATTTCATCAATAAAAGTCTTAAAATTGCATTAATATCAGTAAATTTATTAACAAAAATTTATATAAAATTGAATTAATGATTTTATCTGTTAGAGAAGAGAAAAGAGATATTTTGTCATGCTTCATGTTAGAAAGGAAATTAAACTTTAAAATGGGAATCTGACAAATAACATCTGAGCTATATAATCAGATTACAAGATCATTTGTCTGAGTACTATGTTATCAAGGAAAAGTTTATTAAGACAATTTCCCATCCCTATCTGAATTCACATACTACATTGGAATTTTTGTGGACTGTTCTATTATTAAAATTATTTTATTACAAAAATTATTGTTGATTTAAATTTTGTAGTAATTTATCAGTTTATAAAACTGAGATCCTGCTTTTTGTTTTAATATAATAGCCATGCTTATGATTACTAACATAATATCAAATTATTTTTATAATTTTATTAAGTATTTCAGTTATTTTATCAATATTTATTTTTCATTGTAATTTGTTTGTAATAATACATTTCCATATTTTTAAATATGGAAATGTATTATAAAAACAGATTCAACATTTTACTTTGAAAAATGTTTTAAAACATTTGTTTTAAAACATTTTTCAAAGTAAAACAAACTAAAATGTTTTAAAACATTTTACTTTGAATCTTGTCTGAGTTAATATTATTAGTTGTTATTTATAATGAAAATTTAGATACAGTACATGTGTTGATCAGTTGCATTAAAAATAAATTTTTCCACAAATTTAATTTCAATTAAATTACAAATACGTCACACTAACCTTCTGTAGCTTTCCAGTTACCACTTAAAATGTAACACAAACATTTTCGACCCACTTCTAGGGTCTTCCTGAGGTGTTCTATGGTGAGGAAGGAATTTCTATACCTGAGAAAGACCCTAGAAGTGGGTCAAAAATGTTTGTGTTACATTTTAAGTAGTAACTGCAAAGCTATACAAGGTTAGTACAATGTATTTGTAATTATTGCTCTGTTTATTAGATGGATTTGATTCAATTAAATTCATTATGATTTATAAAAAAATTGATTATTTTTAGATATATATATAAAGTTCTCAGTTTTTTCATCTACATCTCCAAAAATAGCAGAGAAGTGTATGTGTTTAAGGAAACAAATTTTTCTTGATTAAAAATATAAAATCTTTTTAAATTGGTATCACTGATTACTATTTTTTAATTTTAGAACATTCATAGTTACTTGTTATATTTTTAATATTAAACTATTTTTCCCTCCTTCTTCATAACAGCTGAACAAACTTAAAATGTAAAAGTAAATAATGTTGGAAAATACAACTTTCAGACAAAAAGATAGATTATTTGCTAATATAATTGTTAAATGAAACATTAGTTACTGTGTAAATAACTATTGTTAGTAATAATGTTATTTTAATTATTACTTTTTCTATTAAAGTCTATCTTTAAAGTTTTTACTATTAAATATAAATATACAGTCAACAGCATATATAAAAATCAAACTGTTTATTTTCTGGTCTATTGCACTTATTTATCTTATAAACTTATTGATCCCAAAAGAATTTACAACATAAGTAAAACTATAAGTAAAACAATTGATGAAATAGTCATCATATATGTTTAAACAGAATAATGTTTTATTAAACATTTTGTTTCAAGTTTTTCCAGGATGTATCATTTATAATCAATGTACATCATGTGAAAAAATGAAAATAAATATAAAAGTTGAAATACAAAATAAGTTTTAAAACTGAAAATTCTTTAATTGTTTTGGAACTGTAATTGTTCATTTATATACTTTGATATTCATTTGGTTATTTTATTCAAAACAAAATGTCTTGAAAATGTTGTTTAAAAAAATATCTAATGTTTATTTTGCATACATTAGTTGATATTCTGCATTGTTCTTATAAAAATTATTTTTTTCATACTTGATATACAATGATAGCTTTTTTCATTTTTATTAGAAACAATATAAATTTTTATATTTTCATTTTGGTTTATCAGTTTTTTCCCCTCTCAGTTATGGATATCACAATAAAACACAAATTATCAATATAATCTTTCCAAAATATATTTTGAAATGTCTGTGATTTTGTGTGTTAATTCAGAAATAATTATAAGAATATAGGTAGGAAGTAATTTAGCTTTTTAATGATTATTGTATAATTATAAATGAATTTTCTAAAATTAAAAGATAGTTTTGGAAGGAAATGTAATATTTGGAAAGAAATTCAAGAATAGGAAATGTTTTTTACTTATATAAAGAATTATATTTTGGATTTCAAATTCGTAATTTCACAGTAACAAATATTTTTGAATATTCATCAAAAGAATGGAAGGCCTTATAGAAATAATTAATAAGGTTGGCATCTTTTTACATCATCTGATTCCGAGCTTAAAGTAAAGCAAAGAAAATAATAGTATTTAACTGCATAATTATTATTGCATGACCCAAAATGTATTGCAGTTAATACCATAAAATTAATTTTTATGACAGTATAATATATTGGATTGAGTCATAAACAAGTTCATGGATAGATGTAAATGACTGTCAAGTTCTTGCCAGATGATGTGTTCTTTCAACTAAGTTTTATTAGTGGATATTAGCAAATAGTTACTAAATGTAAATTTTAACACTAAAGTGTCAATAATGTAATAAAATATTGTTTTGAATTCATTTAAAATGAAATATTTGAAATTACACATATGCCATATTACTAGATTTAAACTCTCACATGATAATGTTACAGAAACAGCAAAAAAGATTTGTATTGCCTAAGGCAGTGGAGTAATTTCAGGCAGAGCAATTCAAAAGTGGTTTACAAAATTCTGTTCTGATGATTTGTCTTTAAAAGATAATGACCAGGATGATTCTCAGACTTTGATGATGACATTTTAAAGGTCCTGATTGAACAGATTCCATGACAAATAACAAGGGAGTTAGCAGAGAAGCTGCACATATTCCAGTCAACCATAAATTGCCACCTCCAAAAACTAGGGAAAGTGAGCAAGCTGGAAGTTTGGGTTCTGCATAACCTCAGTGAACAGAATAAGGCCAACAAAACGTCAATAGCTGCTACCTTCTTTTCTTGGCATAAAGGGGAATCTTTTTTGGCTAAAATTGTTACAGACAATGAAAAGTGAATCACACATGAAAATATCATTGAAAACATTGCCGTAACTAGAGCAGTAACTAGACCCTGGGGGGCACAGAAATGACTTGGACCAAGTTTTGGGGTGTAATTACAGAAGCTCGCACCGGGCACATAAAAGGCTAGTTACAGTGCTGATTGAAAAAAGACAATGGGTTGACAAAGATAATTAGCCTCAACTGCACTCCAAACCCACTATGCATGGAAGAAAAATTTTGTTGTGTATGATGGAATTATCAAGGAATTATCCAGTTTGAGTTGTTGCCATGCAATGAAACTGTTACTATAAATGTATATGTTCAACAGTTAGAACAGCTTCAGCTAAAACTTCAAGAAAAGAGTCTTGCACTTGTTAACAGAAAAAAATCACCTTATTGCATGACAATGCAAGGTTGCACACAGCAAAGATTATAAAAGAAAAAATTTTGGAATGTGGCTGGTCTGTTTTGCCTCATCCACAATATCACTGGACTTGGCACCAACAGATTTTCATCTTTTCCAGGCAATGCAGAATGCTTTACAAGGCAACACTTCTAAAATGATGACCAGGTTCAGGAGTTTTGATTCAAAACTACCAGAATTTTATGCAAGGGGAATTGGCAGGTTGCCCAAAAAGATGGCAAGAAGTCATCAATACTGACTGTGAATATGTATTAGATTAAAGTCTATTGTTGTACGTTTTATTGTCAAATAAATTTCAGTTTAGAAAACCAAACTTATTTATGACTCAACCCAATACATAACATAAATACCATATTTGCATGCATTTAAGCCTCAATGACATATTTATATACCCTGCAGAAAATTTCTAGAACAAAAATTAAACTCATAACACACCCATTTTATATCTCTGAATTTTTGGGAATAGCCATTGCTCCAAAAGATTAAGTTTATGATTGCAATTTAAAATTAGTGTATAAACAGCTCCAGTGCATAACCTGCACCTCCTTTAAAATTGCCTTTTAAATAAAATATATGCATGAAAATATGTTAATTGTATACTTTTCATCAGATTAAACCTAAATATCAAATAAAATTAATTTAAAATTTAGATTTTGCTGTTTTATTTTATTTTTTGTAACACTTGTAATGTTAACAAAATAATTTGTTCATGCTGTTTATCTTTGCAAAAAAATATTTTAAAAATTTAAATTTTAAGTGAATAAAAAGTTGTTCATTTTACATAATTTTAGACATCCTGAACTAAAATATTGAGGGTACATGATTTTAGAATTTATTTTAGTAATCATGATAACAAGCAATAGCAATACTTAAACCTTTATTTAATCTAACCAAGTTAAAGAATGTTCATTGATAATTTACAATAATAATACAATTTTTATAGTACTCAATGATTCTTCTTCATTTTATTTTATTTTTCTACTAGCTGCCACTCACTAACATAAAAAACAATATGGGGTCATTCAAATATGACACTAATTTTAAGTCTTTTTGAATACCTACACCAGTGTTTCTCAATTTCTAACAAATCGTCGCCCCCTTCAATAAAACCGTTACATAGNTTTTTTTTTTTTTTTTTTTTTTTTTTTGCTGACTCCAAGTTTGGAGTTGATATTTTCAGCTTGCCAACCCCAACACTAACTCCTTAGAATATTATATATATTATCCACCATTTCATCACTGAGATATACTATACTTCATTAGACTAATTTATTACTTAACAATGTACTGCTGGTCTAATGATAATTAGATGATTACAGCTATGGTAGTTTACTTTATCCAAAACACAAAAAAATTACAAAAATTTACATGCCCTATACATTTAAATACTGTCCAGATCAAAATTTTATGTTTATCCAATCCTAAGATATAATAGGAAAATAGATACAAACACACAAAACTGGAGAGGGAGTTTAAATTTGACTGATTAACATACTTTCCCTTACATACAGTATATTATAACCAGGAAGTTAAAAATAAGTATGAAATATAGTCAGTTAAGGAGTTGGAGTTAGCAAATTTTTTTGCTGACACTGACTCTCCAGTCCTGACTATATAATAATGAAATAATTCAAATCATTCTGTAATTTATTTTTCATCATTAACAGCATATAATTGTCTTTTATAATTGTTTTGTTATCTTCTGAAATATTTTACAAGACATTTATTATTACAGTATTTGAAAATTACAAATAAAATAAGGCTGAAAAAAAATTCTAATAAAAAAAAAATAATAAAATATTTTATATTACAATGAGGAATCCAAAAATGTAACAAAAAGTAGGGGTTGTTTTACAGATACAATGGGATAAAAACAACAACTGTTTATACTTCTTGAGTGATTGAACATGCCTATTGGAATTTAGAGGGCAAAAACAAAAAAGCAGTGTATGCACCAAAAAGCAACAAAGCAATTAACACTGAACAAATGTAATAATTGTTTTTCTTGTGGCAAGCAACTGTCTTCTGATCACATGCACACTCACTCTCTTACTCACTCACAGACACATTAATGTACTGTACATCCACAACCTTANATTAGAGAGGTTGAGGCGCACGTTTTAAACGTGTACGTGTGACGTTCGGCGCCGCTTTCCCGTAAGCCTAAAAGTTTGACGATGGTGTTTGGAATGTCGAGCGTGATTCCACCGACTATCCAAACACCATTGTCAAACTTTTAGGCTTACGGGAAAGCGGCGCCGAACGTCACACGTACACGTTTAAAACGTGCGCCTCAACCTCTCTATTAATGTACATCCACAACCTTACATACATATTCAAACATATGTCAGCTCTTGGGTTAGATGGAGTGAAACAATTTATATGTACTAATATTAATTTTAAAAAATTTTTAATTACAAAAATACAATGTTCCATGCAACTTTGTCATGTCTATCATGACATGACAAAGTTGTATGGTGTCCCTAGTTAAATTTCAGTTATTTTATTATTTTGAGTTTTCTGAGTATATAATCTTTATTAAAAATTCACTGATGGCATGTATTTAGTGTGCAATTAAGAAATTATTTTTGTCACCAATAGAAAAAACCTGAAACTGCATGTGACACATATACACATGGTCCTACTGTATTGTTAACTTGAGTATGACTGGAACATATTCTTGGAAATAACAAATTTTCTTATTGGCTGTACAAATTGACAGTCTGGCAGAAGACAGAAGTATGAATTATTTTATCTTTTTTTTGCCAATGTTACTGGATGGCACAAGCTGACAGTTATGGCTGTTGAAATTGGATTTGGCAGTTTTAGTTTGTATCTAACCTAATGGTACTGATTTTGTTATAAAATATATTTCATTTCATAATATTTTTTAATTTTTTTAATGCATTGATATAAAACTAATATTTTTTGAAAAACTATAAAATATTTAATTTGAATAACATTTATCAGAATAAATAACAAATGTAACTTACCTATGGTACTGTTGACATGGCACATGGATCTTTACCATAAGGATCTGCCATACAGGCATTGATAACTTATTCATGGAGTTGTCAAAAGCTTTCACAAATTTAATCCAAACTTTTGGCATTTGTAACCTATAATGAAACACAATATAAGTTCTGGAGCTTGTAGGAGTAGAGTATATACATAAGTCAATTTTGAAACCATCAACTTTAGAAATATTTATGATTACTACTATACTTTTAGCTGAAACTCATATGTTATCTTAGAAAACAATTTCTGCTAGCCATTACAAAATTTTGTTCAATTAAGAGCAACATATAATTGAACTAAATTTTTTCTAACTTTTTTTTAAAAAGGTAAGTTTTTAATTATTTTCATCTTTTATGTAAATTAATATTTTAATAATAAAATTGCCCGTTTTAATTGTGTTTTTATGGCTTATATTCTTTCAAGCTCCATCTTTTTCAATGCTTAAGTTAAGAAAGAAATTTTAAGTGAAATACATTTGATGAAAGGATAATGAAAAAATTAAATACTATTATAATTATCAGTAAGTACAGTACTAAAAAGAATACATAATATAAAAATTAAGACAATTCAAAAATTTTCTGCTTTTCAAAGTTTTCCTGAATTCATCTGTTATGTGTAATCCAATATAGCAAATAATGATAGATTTTTCCTCGCTGAAAATAAATGTCTTTTTTAACAGCTTTAATTTACAAAGTACTTTTTGCTGAAGACATATTAAAAGTATCTTTGGAGTAATTCTGCTTAATGTTTTATATACATTGGAAAAAATTCAGTTAAATAATTTTCAACAATATTTTTGAAGATTCATAAATATCTATCTTCAGAAACAATTTTAGCTCATATTTTCAACTCTTTTTCTCAACTGTAGTTTCTCAGCATTGTCTGACATTTTGTCTATATTTCAAGTCTTGAAATAGTTATTATGCATTATGTTAGTAAGATGATGTCTTATTTTGCAACTTTTTTCAGTTTTTCATAATACTACTTTATTCTATTATGGATTTTTTTCTTAGATGTGAGTTGTGAAGGGAATCAAAATTGATATAATAGTTTTTTAAGTTCTTGCAAATCAAATTCTAGTACTTGCATAAATTGTGTCAATAATGATGTAAAAATATTTAGTTTTAAAATGATCAGCTTTTAAGTTTAGATGTATTAGGACAGGTTTCATCAGAACATTCATAATCAATGTATACACTACACTATCTGGAACCTGTAACTGATGGGTGACACATATATATTGTATATTGCTGTTGAACATTTTTGAACAATCTCTATGCTCTTCTTCAGGTCAACTGGAATTCCCTGGAAGGAGTGTATTTTATTTGTTGGGATCAAGTGTCATTTCGACAAACTGGGTCCTTTCTGACATGCACGGTCGTGCGGTGGAGGGGAAAGTTGCGGGTTGGCATCCAACAGTAATTGCCAGGCCAGAGATAGTCAGCTCCTCCTTCCAGTTAATGCTTGTGGTTACCCAGCCGGCGTTGTAGATAGCCGTGGCCTCTAACCATCTTAAGGCTGTTATACACGTTACGGAAATCCTCAAAGGATGTACTTAACAGACGAAAAAAAATCGGATATAACTGGCTGGATCGAACATAGTAATTTACAAAACTTATTAAAATATTTCCCAACGTATAAAAAATTATTTTTATTTAAAGGTGGATAGATAGAAAAAAAAATCATGGTTAATCCTCAAAGGATTTCCGTAATGTGTATAACAGCCTTTAGATACTCCTGGTGGGGTGTATCGACTATAACGGTAGCTTTTTTGAATCATGCCTCGACCTCTGGATCCGATGCATACGTGGCCAGGGCTGTGGTGAGCCTTCCATGTCAGATATCTGCCTGGTGTTCACGCAGATGGGTATTCAAGGAACATTTAGTCAAACTGATGTATAATAAGTCTTCATTCTGTCTGTTGTCCCTGATTGGGATAGAATAGACTCTGGGGAGTCTGGTGCGATTGGGAGGGATACAGAAAATCGTGGAACATCTTCTGTATGCTAACCATATCCCATATTCTCTGGCTATCTTCTTATGTACTGTCTTAAGGTATGGGTTGAATGTTATAAGGGCTCATGCCGAATCGTCTTGCTGGAGGTCAGCATCATTATTTGCGGTCGGGGTGTGTTTCAGGCGTTGGTATCGTTCTACTAAGTGACGTTCAGGAACCTGTGCATGGTTGCTATCCTCCAGATGCAGGCTAATTCAGTTGCCAGGGCCTGCTTGGTGGATGAGTGTGAGAACGCCCTTTCTACTAGAGCTCTAAAGGCAGCTGTATTGTACGGGAATGGGGGTCACAAGAATTAGCTGGTATGTATGTGAGGGTGGCTGAGGGTTTGTGGTATACAGATGTGTAGTGTGGTTCCAGATAGTGTAGTATAGATTTAACCCCAGTACTTAGAATAGTGATCTTTATTTAATCAATGTATATTTTTTTACATAGACATAGTCATAGTTATTTAAATTTTGGAATTTCAATCTCATCAACTATTTCATTAGTTCAGTCAAGCTACTTCCAATTCAGCTGACTACAATAGAAATTATTAAATGTTTAGAGAAGTACCAAACTCCATATAAAGCTTTAGCATAACTTAACAAGTATTTTTTCTGAAATATCATTCTACATCAATAATGAAAAAACAAAATTCACATTGGGTTTCTTATACCGTTATATTTATTGACAAGACTATGTCTTGTTTATAAAATCGTACTGCCCGATGTTCTTACCAGCATAGAGGTATGAAGGAATACATGTCGAGAGTTGATATTTGGCAGAGAGTATTAGGTACCCAAATCATTTGCGCATAAAAAATCCAGACTCGTAGGTAGTCAGGGGACCGAGAATCGAGTCAAAATAAAATACAAAATGGCGACCCTCTTCTACAAACAGGCAAAACAGCCACCTCACCACACCGAAGTCTGGTAGGGGAGAGTACCATGCACAGTCATTCTAAGAAGTGAATGCAGTTTCTTCTATGTTAAATAAAATTTGTAATCTAATTTTGTAAATTTGGGAGTGCTTCAAATATGTCATTAAAACAAGGTTTTATGTCATTACAAGTAGGTTTTTTAATATTATCTAGTATAGTAAAATTGTAGGAATGATAAAAATTTGATGTTATATTAGGATTGTCATTACATTCGATGATGTTATAATCGGGTTAAACTGTATATTGTTTGTGCAAAATAAAAAAAAAAATTTAAGGCGATATAATAGCCACAATTATTTTTTCAAAAACGGGAACTTTTCGTTACGCATTGACAAAAATTCAACCAGGGCCTGCACGGCACGCAACGGAGAGAAATTTTGAAATTAGATAGGTTAATTTCATCGAAGATGTATCGTGGACGATCTCTTGGTCATAGCCTGTGAAGTTTGAACGCAATATCAAAGAAGATAGGAGAATGAGAACGAGACCTGCCTTGAGTATCAGTGATTGTGTCTCCAAGACATAGTCTTGTCCAAATACGGTTTTTGTCATTTTACTTGTTTCAAAGTTTAAAATTTCAGCTTGTTACTAAATTCTAAGATCTTGAAGGAACTTCTAGGAACTGTTAATGAAGAGCTTAAACATATTCTGCAAATTATGTTTCAGAAAAAGACTTCAATAACATACCTCATCTGCAGGGTGAACTAGAAAAAAGTACAGTATTTTAATTTCCTACATATAACCTTCAAAAATTGCTATAACAAGTACATAACTTGTACCTGTTATTAAATTAATTTTGAAATACAGGTAACTCATGGGTTATATGCAGCAAATTATCATAATTTAATCTTTGGAAAACACCAAAAAATAATTTTTTATACAAGATGTGATGTGTAATTGTTACCAAGCAATAGATTCCATTTGTGCAATACACAATAAATAAAAATAGCCAATGAGTTAGTAGATGATATTTTTGTTTCAAGCCATCTTATTATAGTCATATTTTCACTATTATCTTGATTTTGCCCACATTTTTTATCTAATTCTAGAGTTGTCATTTTTTGAGAGTGCACAGTTAATTCTTCAGTTGTAGTTCTAATTTAAAGTCAATGAAATATATTAAATTTCTCATCAACATGATGTAATACAATTGATATTTTGTTTGATATCACTTATGTCTTCAGTACAGTCAAGAAATTATTGAGTAATAATTTGCATGCTTCATTTTATTTTATTTTAAGTTTATGTATTTGACCATTTCTATCAGTTCATTTTGAATATTTTTTTTCCTAGTTAATGATTGCAAAGATGTACAATTCACTATAAATGATTTCATAGAAAATGATTAAGCTTTATTGTAAACTTGATTAGGTTTAAAAAGTTACCAGTTTTTCTCTTAAAGTTTCTTTATTTCCCCTGATACCAAACTAAGTGTAGCTAGATATTGAATGATAAACTAGATACTTCTTCAATATCAGATTAGCAGTCTTTGCAAGATGGAATCTCAGAATCAGAATCTTCTGGCATTTCAGCCTACTTTCAAATTCCAACCAAAAGAAAAATTCTGATCATACTTTGAATAACTACTAGGGTTCTTCCAATTATTGCAACTGATATGAAAATGTTAAAACACTTGAAGTTGATAACAGATGATAAGCAAAACAATAAATTCAATTTTTCTTCTGAAGTACACAATAAATCAGTATCCATTTTATTTTTCTTTGTTGCTGAGAACTTAGTGAAATGAAAACAATAACTGTTTTCATCATCTACTAGATAAATTACCTTTTTTCTTTGGTTCCAGAAGAAGAGAAAATTCTATCCTTGTCTTTTATTGAATAATTCTACTTGGAGGATCATAGGTAATTTGTTTGTGATACCTGGTACTGTAACTGAATCCATGTTACAGAACGATCCGTTTTCAATAATACAGAATTTATAGAAATGAAATCTTTGATCTCTATTTTCAACAGGTTTAACCTGCTAATGATAGAGAAGGGAGAATAAATCAAATCTTTTTCTTGTATCATTTTTTCAAGTATTTCAGAATCATTACCCTCTTATTTCTGAGTCTTTTCCTCGCATAACCTGAATTTCTTTCCCACTTCTTATTGTTCTTATTATTATCAATTTCAGTCGTCATTTTTTCTAAAACGATAGTTTTTCATAGTTCTCAAAATTAAAATTCCTCACTACCGTTTATTAGACTTTTCACGAAGGGTTGAAGTCCCTGTAGATTTCGTCTTCAGAAGAAGAAGAGGCAAGTCCGGCGACGAAGGTGGTTTCCATTCGCTGACCGGATGTTGTATTCTAAGACAGTTCTCGTACACAGGAAACGATGTCCAGTGAATGCAGATCGGAATTTTCGAAGTTCCTCTCAACGAAGGTCTAGAACTTTCGGAGGATACATCAGCAAAGAACGAAGATGGAATCTTGCGGGAAACACCCCAGCGAGGGACATAGCCTTGCCGGACGCCATTGCAAAGAACGAAATGTCCTTGTGGACTAGGTTTAAATATCTTTTGGTCTCGCAAATCGTCACTTTATTGGTTATTAATCTTTTTCGGTTTCAGATTGGTCTTTCTCTGTTACCATTGGACCTGATCGGTCCCCGAGAAAGAAGAATGTTTATTAATGAATTCGTCTTTTGTTTGGTGTTGAACGAACCTTGTAACTTAACTAACATTTTCTTTTTATGTCTTTTTGAGGTTTAGTAATTCAGTTTGAGGCTATTTAACAGGTTAATTTTGATTAGTTTAAGGTATTCTCATAACGTGTTTGAATTGTCTGCTATTTTAAAACCTACTTCAGGAGCAACGAATTATCTTAACAACCAAATTACACAACCGATATTACCTTCTTACAAGTAGTAAATAAACCTCCGTAGGTCAGTTTAAAGTATTAAAATACCAACATAGGAATGTAATATGACTTTTTCCTTGCTTTTTATACTTAATTTAAACGTAGTTATTCAGATTTCTACGTTGTAGTGTATAACAATTGAAAATTGCTTGTCTATCATCTCTGAAAATCATAAAAATCTATTATATTATTGTAAGAAAATTTAACTTGTAAAACTTAAGCAAAATATGTTAAAAAGGAACCTTACTTTCCTACATTCTAGCTGTACAATAGGTCCTTGTATAGGCGTGACTCAACCGTATACGCTTGTCATTGGCTTGAATTTTCGAAGTAAACACCAGAATACTCATAAATGAACATAATTAGCTTCTTACATGAGGCATATGAAAACCAAAATTACTCTGTAGTAAACTTAAAGATTACAGTATATTCCAAGACCGATTTACACATAAAGTAAGCAAGCTATAGTAGAAGTCCTCTATTATTTGCTGCAACGATTTCTTATGTTATAACTAAGGGCCACAACGAGTAAGTTCAGTCCTGAATATATCAAATGGCTTCTGTATGAAGAATATCTTCTACAGCATACTTAATCTAACAGTTGTTAGGGGATGTTCCATAAATTACGTCCGCATTGAAAGGATGGGAGGGGAATTACGACAAGTCCGAACAAGAGAAGGGGAGGGGTTGAGCTTCAGTGGACGTCCTTTTAATTCATTAAATTTTATACAATTTATCCATTTTATTATATTTATTTTGAAATTTCCTGTATGTTTTGTTTCTACTTATAGTATCTATCATTCGTAAAGTGATAAAAGTTTTAAGGGGGTCGAGTTTTGGACGTCTGAAGAGGGAAGGGATTACAGAAACAGGGACACGAGGGAGAGGGGGAAATAAAAATTTCAAGATAATTTCGAATGTAATTTGTGGACAGCCCCTTAAGAGTAAAAGATAAATAAAGAGGATAGGTGGTCTTCGAAATAATACAGTAGATGTGGAAAACAGATAAATTTAATGGAGTAAATGGAGTATAAATGCACAAACAAAGCGTGGGAGGTCGTAATCATAACATGATATATCTGATTAGAGTTTGCAATTAACAAAAACCAATCATTAATATCGTAAAAAGTTACTAGACATACTTTCATGCATTTTTTTCAGTATTAAAAAGTTTTATAAAAGCATTATTTATATGATGAAGTGATACGTTATTAGTCATTACACGAACATTTACATTACTATGAGCTGTTAATGCGGCCTCGACATTACTATAGCCCATATAAAGTAGCTTTTGCATTGCGTTAGGCCATATAACGTTGAATTTACATTACAATAGGCCACGTAACGGAGAATTTACATAAGTACGTGTCATAAAACACAGCATAGGTGCTAACTGTGCTTCGGTTGCGTAACTTTTTTAAATATTCAAATATGTATATATATGAACTTATAGATAATTTACTAATCATTTTATTATTTTACGACTCTTAAATCATATACGAAATGAATTCTTATCGTTTCTGTCACTGTTCGCGTCATTTGTTTGTAAGTTGAAAGCTTGCCGACTTGATATAGGATACGGTTTAAATTTTTGCAGTTGTTCGGGTGGTACCAATAGAGAATTGAACATCCCTGTGTTAAAATTTGTTAACACTGCGGGAGTGAAATGATCTCCCATGCTGTTTAGACCGACAAAGAAAAATCCCTCCTTCGACTGCCGGTGTTTCTTTCGTGGATTAAATTGTAATGAAGCAATCCCCTATTTTAACAAAAATATACTGTAAGCTTTTTGTTAAAATACTGTAACTTCGTTATATTTTTGCACGTTGTAGCCTATAATGTGATTTAAACGAATTTATCTAGTTTGTATCATTTTAGTAGTCTCTAAACGTTGAAATATAGTAAAAATATGCTGTAAAATTTTAATTACTAAACATAATTTATAGCTTATCTCATGCAGATTTAAATAAAATATTGATAAAATTGAGTTCGTAATAACAGTTATCTGTGATTTACAGGGACTGAGCGTAATGCAGGAGTAAAAGAACTTTCGATGTCTAGGCAAAACTTCGACCCTCCAAAAAATATCAATAATTTTAATTTTTTATATTTAGTTTCGGAGGTCTCCTGGAGATGTGGATGTTACTACTTTCACATTGTTTAAAATACACGTTCAAAATTTTATTTATTTATATATGAATTATCAAATCGGCATAAGATCCATCTCAGATGTACAGAAAGTAGAGTAAACAATTGCCTTGGGCAATTGCTTATTCTATATCGAGGAATAAGCAATTGCTTTAGGCAATTGTTTACTCTATATCGTGGAATAAGCAATTGCTTTAGGCAATTGTTTATTCCCTGTACGCCTAAATACGGCTCTAGCTGTGAGAGAAAAACAAATGGACTGGGCTCATTTACAAATTATGAGACTTCTTTCTGAAATACATAAAACTACACGAATAAAATAAATAAAAGAAATATTATTTCACTTTTGTATAAAAGTCTAAATTTTAGGTCTAATTTTGAGTTGCCGGACATAGAAGTCAAAATTAAGGAACCGCTGGCCAAAGTTTTCGAATAGAAAAGATACAGCTGATTAGAGGGCCTGCTGACTTATCTGATATTTTATTCCTATAACATAAAAGAGGCTCCTCACTTCCATCAAATATATTTAAAACCATACGGTCCTGAACTGTCCTCAATTATATACCTCATGTATAAATTCGATCCTGGATTATTCCATAAGTAATTTATATTAGATTTTATTATCAATCTTATAATTTTCCATTAAGAATTTCCGGTCATCACAGTTTGAAACTTCTAACCCATCTTTCTGCTGTTTATACAAAAAGTACATTATTCCACACCAGTTGATAAATCAATGACAAAAGGTAAATGAAGGGAAAACTGATAAGCACTTAACATCATATCGCATTATAGTTACCGCATCATTAACATTAGGAAGAAATTTAAGATATCGTATTTTAAATTGGTGTCTACTTGACCAAAGAAATTGTAACATTTAGTACCGTCAGAGTATCGCGATAAATGTAGCAATAATAGGCTGAAACAACCAAACTCTTTATAAGGTTTTCGTTTTAATGTTTGTTATATTATAGTATTTCATTTATATAACTACAGACGTATATCTTACGTAAGAGTTTATCACACCGAGTGACCCAATCTAACACATTTTAAAAATCTTTAAATTGTGTACAGAAGAGAAATACAGAATATTTAAAATGTGTTAGATTGGTCACTCGGTGTGATAAACTCTTACGTAAGATAACGTCTGTAGTTATATAAATGAAATACCGGTACTATATAATATAATAGAAGGGTTAGAAGTACAAAATCTAATAATCTTTGCTGTTATTTTTTGCCCGAGTAACGCCGGGCTCATCTATTAGTTTATGGTAAAGTTATTTCTAGTAACAAATTATAATAATCTGTACGTTTTAAAGTGCATTTTATGAATAAAGAATCGTTCTACCTATTTCATTTGTTCAAAAGGCCTGTTCTACACCCATGCAAGCGCTCGACAGGCTTGGTTTTCTATATTCGTAAAATCCGATAAATTATATGCGATCTGAACGTTGTAGATATTGTTGTACATTTTGTACTAGCAAAAGCTGCTATGTACAGTACTTTCCATTTTCACCTCACACCCTTTAACCCCGTCTCTTCCCCCATGTCCGACTTTGACTTGTAGCCTTTCAGTGTGCATGTCATTTACGGACATTATGATTAAATGTGTTATTCGGAATTATTCATTAAAGAATTATCCAGTTGGCACCGCAAGATTAACGAACTTCTATTTTATATTGAGTTATTTAGAATGCAGTCAACGGCGTAACTGAAGGAGTTATATGTAGGCGCGTGCCTTGAACGCGACCTTGGAGGCGCCAAAGTGAGCCCATAGAACTTTGTATTTAACGTCAAATCAGGGCGCCAGGTATATGGTTTGCCTCGGGCGCCAAATCTGTTCGGCACGGCCCTGAATGCAGTATTAATGATGAGTAATTGCAACCAAAGTGATGAAATGAGGCCCTAGCGACTTAAATATAGGGCACCCTCTAAAACGGTAAAAATTCATTTTATTTACACAATACTGTGTAAATAAAATGAATAATTTAACAAATATAAAGATTTTTCATCAACTGAAGAAGAAGCTCAGTATAAAAGTAAAATTTTCGGGGCCGACTGTGCCCGTGCCAACAACCTGGGCCGTAAAATAAGTAAAATTGTTTCGTAAACACTATAAAATGCAATTAATCGAACACTGGGCATCCTTTTATTTGTTCATTTAGTTGATACACATTGTTTACACGTTTCGGGCTTTATGTTGCCCCTTTTAGTCAATTTTAAAAAAAAATGTTCATAATTACTACATATTAAATCGATAAAAAGGACATAATTTAAGAACATACATTCAAATATTTATCTCTCGGAACCGATTGTAATTGATATGTATAAACTGGTACACATTATTATTTTCAACTGTTTGTTTGGAAAAAATTATACTAAAATTATAACACGCTACTATATATGCAAATCAGTGTTTCGAATGGCTTACCTGCTGTAACACTTTCAGGACGATTTGGTTGATGTTCTTTCATATCCGCCTAAAGGTGATTATGCATGGATACAAATATTTTTTTTTCTTCTCCATTCTGTCATTTTTTTGTAGAATTTACAATAAATAAAGACATAACAATAAGTATGTTAGACTTGAAATAACATACCTCTTGTACGCTTTTAAAAACGTTAAAAACTTGTAAATTAATAAAACGTTTTTTTATAAACGTCAAAAATATACATATGGTTTTCTTATGTTTTTGAACAAAGGGTTCTTCTTCATCTTCTTCTTCGTTTATATGAAGAAACAAAGGTTATCTCTTTTCATGCATGGACTTTTATAGCACCTCTTCACTTATATCCCACAATCTCGTGCTAATTTACATATCCACGTTAAGTGAAATGACCAAACTATAACTAAATATTTAAACATTGCATGGTATTAAAAATTCTTCAGTATTAAAAGTACAAAGCTAGTACAAATTAAAATTGTAATAATAAAAACCAATGTAAAAGTGACCATAAATATATTTAAATTAGTCATAAACAAACCAACGAGAAAGATCTGAGAAAATGAATTAAAAAAAATAATAAAATAATGGTTACTTTTTAATAGTGAAGATTTTTAATACTGAAGTACGCAGGCTTTACTTTTATTTGTCTATCTTCATTAATTATAAAGGCATACTTAAGTTTTGACGGATATTTTATTTCCAGTAAACAATAATGACTATTACTTTGTCTGATAATGTCATCTGAAGAACAGCGTAGCCATGGCATTTCTGGGCGATGCACTCTTCATTTAGAAGATAATATCTAAAGTTTTCTATCAGTATATTATATTTGGATCAGCTAAAGATATCTGTTGGTTTGTTTTCCTATATCTTTTTCTTGGTCCAAAAAATCTGACTAGGCTTTATTGCTTGTTTGTATTCTTCCTAAAGTTGCTGGTTTATTCCTAGATTGTGATAAACTTGTTCTTGATTCTATTTTTTTCCTTCTTTACTAATAAAAAGAGTAAGACGTGCTGCATACTTTCATCTAACAAGAAGTTCAGCAGCCCTGCATGAGCAAAAGGCATTAATCATTTTTCATTGGTCATTAAGCTGAAAAAATAATATATGGCCATTGAGTTAATACGTTTATGTTGATTGTTTTACAAGTTTCCTTACGTCCTATGTTGATGACAGCAAATCTTGCGTATACTTTCTTCTTTTGCAATAAATATTAAAGAGATTTTTAAAACTTTTATTAATCAATTTCCAATGCCCGCACCCGACCATGTCGGATATTACTGCTCAATGATTAGGCACTGTCATTCATAATTTAATTTGAAGATTTACGTTAGTATTGTTCTACGTAAGAACAACAGTCACATTTATAATTATTTGGTGTTTCTACATTTCTAGTCTTTGTGTGACCAATTTTTGTATAGGTCTTCTTAGATTTTCGCTTTCTAATGCTTCTAGTTTGTGATTTTCTAGGAGTAGCTGTTAGAATTTGTGAATTTTTTTTATTATGTATATTCAATTTTCGCCATTTATATCATTTGAAATACAAGGAATGGGGAGGAATATTATCTAAAGGCATTGATTTTTAAACTTACCTTACGTGAGCGTCATTATTCTTCATCGTCATATTGGATTCTGATGTTTTTTTTTATTGGCCTAACAGCATATTATAAATTAAACAAAAAGCAGGAATGGAAAGCTAGATATATGTAGTTTATATACGTAATGATTAAAACTAGCAGTTTAAAGTAAAGATGTACTTATCTTCAGTTGAAATTTGCAAAGTTTTCTGAGATCACCTCAAAAACAACACACGAATGAAAGAGAAAACCTGCTTCTGATGGCGACCATCACGTGATTTATAGACTTATGACGACATTTCCTACCTGGCCACAACGATCAGAAATTCACAAATTCCATTCTGTTTCGAGATACCTAAGTGAGCGAGCGAGGTTACTCGTCGAGGGATACCGTGATAACTGGGTGACAAAATAGACAAAATAAAAAACTTTTTGTTTTCTATATAAAAATCACCATTCTTTTCTATTGACCCGGTAAATTTAATAATATTTTTTAAGAAACGAGTACGTTACACATTACATGTTTATTGTTAGAAGCTGTCCATAAATGTCCATAAATAGAGGAAGAGGGAATTACGACAAGTCGGACAAGGGAAAGAGAAGGGAAGGGGGTTGATTTTCAGTCGTCTGGTTTATTTCATTAAATTTTATACAGTTTATGTATTTTATTACATTTCAAAATTTCTTGTATGTTTTGTTTCTACTTATAGTATCTATCATTCGTAAAGTGATAAAGGTTTTAAGGGGGTCGAGTTTTGTTGGACGTTTGAAGAGGGGAGGGAGTTGCGGAAACTTGGATAAGAAGGAGAAGGGGAGTAAAAATTTCAAGAAAAATGCGGACAATCGCTTACAAGTAAATTGAAAAGTCGCGGATAACAGTTGATATCTACCTAAAAATTAACAAATATACATAAAAACAAAAACGACAATTACATAAAATTAAAAATACATTGCATTATACATTAAATACAATATAAATTAACCGCTTCTTACATAAAATAATTAATTATGCTACAATATTATAAAAGAGTTTCTTTTCACGAAAATTGTTGAAACTATTAAGCTACAATACGTTATTCGAAAACATTTTCTTTTCTTAAGTTGGAAATAACTCGTAAATCTTAGTTCGTAACTTATAACTCGTACCTCGTAAGCTTTAATCATATTTATATTTATATATATATTACCAATATTTACAAAAAATAATAAATAAATAAATAATATCCGCCAAATCGTATGTTTGCTGAGCGTGCAAAAATTTGTAAGTTTCTGTCGCCACTTAGCTATCGCCGAGTTGTCTACCCACGCTGAGAGTAATTTTCGTACATTTTCCTAATATTTGGGAGGTCTCGATTCTAAGAATACTTAATTTACTTACAAGACAACTCATTACCTTTACATTAATGCTATAATGACAAATATTGATAGTTTTCAACTGTGGGGTGCTCTATTTGGGTATCCGAATCCTCTTAAGCTTTGCCCTAGGCAAGGTTAAGACTTAAGCGTTACAAAATTTAAGTAGTTTGCTCCTTAATTTGCAAAGTTTAAAGTTGGTATATATATATATATATATATATATAATTAAATGCATTAATAGATTAATTGCAATAGGCTCATAATTAATAGTTTATAAATTGGTCTCGTGCACTTTCAATACTCGATGAGATATGTTGCATATAATGAAAAACCCAATGAAAGCGTTGAAGATGCGCAGCATTAATTTTGCCTATTGTTATTTGTCCTTGGTTCAAAATTTTCCATGAAAAGTTTTGCTTACTCAGCTATTTGTTACCGAAATCTTGAAATGTCTAGAGCAGGGATGGGCAGGGATGGGCAATTTGCGGTCTACATTAGTTCTTCGTGAGATCCGCGTGGCGCAAAATATTTTAAAATATATATAAAATAAAATAAATATTTAAAATAACGACATCGAGCGTCCATAGTCGTACTAAAAAATACCAAGAGCCCGCTTCTTGCATGGCTAGTAGTTTAATC